TCTCTCTCTCTCTCTCTCTCTCTCTCTCTCCACCACGGCAGAGGGGTCGATGTCGTAGGGACGTGTTCTCATGAATGTATGTGGTGTCTAATGCATTAGATGGAACCCGTCATTGCAACAACTGTCAAAGCTGAAGAGACCATCTTCATGGACACGGAGGACATTTGGAAGGGTTTTGCAGAAGGTGGAAAGGAACGAAGGTCAGTTGAACAAGAGACCAGCGGAGCAGGAGGGAACACCACAGAGTGTGCAGAGGTGTTTGCCACAATATATGCACAGACTGCAGATATGGTGGGTCATGCTGATGATACAGAGAATGATGCAGAAGAAAGCACTTGTGAGACAGAGAAGGTGGGGGAAAAGAGAGAGGCGGGAGATGTGGGAAGCAGGGAACCTCTCACGGGATATATCATCAGAGATGAAAATGTGATCAAGACATCAGCAGGAGAACAATACCGATATGACATCAATTGGGTGTCGGGTCATGTTCAACTAGGTATTGTTGGAGGCAGACCGTGTTTTGCGTTCAAGGTCGATGGCACAAGGGTTCCATTTCCAACCCCTATGAAGAGAACATGGCGAAACATAACTCTCGCATTTGTGTATGACAGAGTATCGAGGTTGAACGACGGGGCAACGACACAGGAGAAAGGACGATATACATTAGAAATGTGGTATGTTCTGGAGGCACAAGGCGAGTTCCGCCTGAACGATTTTTTATATGACACTTTTGACTGCGGACAGCCATTGGTGATTGGTGACAACCAAGCGGCAGGGAGTATGACATGCCAAGAGATCGACGCAAGGAAGGATCCTTGGTGGGGTTGGGTGTCATCTGCGATCCCATTTCCATATGGTCGTATGAGGATGATGATGCGTGATGCGATGAGAAATGTTTGAAGCACCCATTACGTGAATGATAACTTCTCCTTCAGGCATCTGGACAAGGAGGTCACACAAGAGGAGAAGAAGGCAATGACATGTCGTCCTCATATTCCTGGTTGCTTCGTCCCGCCGCTTCAAAACCCTGTGGAGTTGGTGGTGGTTCAAGGAAAAGTGTTCATTGGTGACGACTTCATCACATACAAGCAGGGAAGAGAAAAAAAAATCACCTTTGATGGACTATGTATGGAAATATGGGACCACGTGGCGATGAGGAAGGACGTTTTGTCTACAACGGATATTAGGCCCATGTGATCCCGGAAGGACAACTGTAGGAGCATATGACCCTTGAAAAGTATGGCTATTGTATCAATTGGGTCCCTGGATATTTGCATCCTGCAATTATGGATGGCAAAGTTACAATGGCAGTACGACTACAATCAGGTCACTCCCCCTCATTGGGTTGGACGCACGCAGGCATTGTGGAGCATTGGTAGTTCCTTGTGGTTGTCATACATGTCTCCATTTTTAATGCACATGTGAAGGACCACACATTGGTGGTCGAACACGCAAAGCGTTGCTAGGAGAAGATAAGAAAGGAGGGTCGTCAGATCGTGTGTATGGGATTTGACTATGTTGTTGACCAGACGATGTGGTCCATGGTTAAGGAGACTCATGCGGGCCAAGATACGAGAGACATGTAGAACAGATACATAGATGACATTCGCCGCAAGCACGGGTGCACGACTATGTGACACCCGCGGTCTAGGCCATGGACAATTCTGTTGTCGCGACCAAAAAAGTCAGGCGCGGCTGCAGCCAGGAGGCCTAGTTTGCGGCACGGTTTTTTGTATATTTTTTTGGTGGTCAAAAAAAAAAAAAAAAAAAGGTTGTAGGGTTTTGAAAACCCTACAACCCTATATATTTTGTTTTTGAATTTGAATTTATTTAGGATTTATGAAAAAAAAAAAAAAAAAATCGATTAAAAAAAAAAAAAAAAAAAAAAAAAACATAATGTTTTTTTTTTTTTTTGTCGTGACTGATATGGAGTCAGAATCCTCCTATAAATTTTGCCAAGTTAATTGATTTTTATTTATTTTTTTTTCTTCTTTTGTGCTGTTTTTTTTATTAATTAATTGATTGATTGATTGATTGATTGATTGATTGATTGATTGATTGATTGATTGATTGATTAGAAGAAACAAAAAAATTGAAGCGTGTGTGTGTGTGTGTGTGCGTGTATGTGTGTGCGCGCATGTGTGTTTGTGCGCGTGTGTGTATGTTTGTGTGTGTGTGTATGTGTGTGTATGTGAGCGGACGCATGTGTGTTCGTGCGCGCGTGTGTGTGTGTGTGTGATGTTTGTGTGTATTTGTGTGTGTATATTTGTGTGTGTGTATGTATGTGTGTGTGTGTGTGTATGCGTGTGTGAATGTGTGTGCGCGTGCGCCAGGCGGAGGGGTGGGAGGACCCCTTCCCAATCAATCAATCAATCAATCAATCAATCAATAAATAAATAAATAAATATTTATTTGTTTTGTATTTATTTATTTTTTTTTGTCACTCACCCACCCCCCCCCCCCCCCCCCCCAAATTTTCAAATCTTTCATTTTTTTTATTTTATAGGGTGGTAGTGACCGACATGCGCAGGCGACGCGTGCGCGCCGTTTTTTAGAGCGCTCCCCCGCCTGGCCCTGGCGCGGCCACGCGCAAACTCGACCGCGCGGCCTCGGCCGTGGTCGACGGGGACACAGGTGCACGACAATTCTTGGTTGGGTCCCCATCGTCTGTTTCATGACATTTGAGCATGGTGGACACATCCGCATGAGATTCAGAGACCCGTTTGGTGTCTCTTTCTATCTCACCTACTCAGATGGACTTCTAAGAGACATTGAGTATGTGGCAGGCGACGACTTGCCTGGTGCATCGCAACCATAAAAGAGGATAGAGCAGCAACAAGACATCGCTCATTTGTCCTCTGAGGTGAAAAGCCCTTAGCCTCATCACGAGGGGGGGTGCTCTATAGCACAACCTGACATAGGCGGCCCAAGCAATATGGGGATGTCGAAGAGTCCGAGGAAGATGAAGAAGTGCACGTCTGGACCACCACATGCATAAACGGCTTCCACCAGAAAGACAACGAATCAGAAGGCGGGACCAGCGATTGGCGAGACAAGAGGTGCAACAACTCGGCCTCCCAAACGCTGCCGACGATCGGGGATGGCAACTTTGACAGAAACCAGAAAGTTGCAATGATCAACTAACCTTCGCTTGGCTTTCAGGCCATTCATGCGGCTCGTGCATGAGGTTGTGGAGAGGGACATCACTCCAGACAAAGGTGTCAGGTTTCAGATGAATGTTGTGCGTGCTTTCATGGAGGTTGTCGAAGTTTATCTGGTCACCAATTTCGAGAACACAAACAAGGTGGCCATCCATTCGAAGAGGGTGACAATCCAACTCAGGGATATGAGACTGGTTGATAGGTTGTCGAAGCCTCGTTGGGTTGAGAAATATCAAGGTATGTTGGACGAGAAGGCGAGAAACGAGGACAGACAACAACGGATCGAGGTCGGACAGGCGGATAGAGATGGCAGCAGAACAAGGGCCACGAAGAGGAAAGGAGTGTCATGCAACGGCAACGCAAAAAAAAAAAAAAAAAAGCAACGTGAGAGGGGGAAAAAAAATCCAGACACTGACAGACATTGTACTATAGAAGGTTCACCAAAAAACGGTATGTACTGCAGAATGCATGTCATATCCAATCATGGACACTGTGGTAGTCATTGCGATATTAGGCTGAATGATAAACTTACCACGACCGCAAGACAAACCATTTTTTCACTTCGTGTGTGGTGCTCACTGCCGTAAAACTTTATCTTTCAAGTGTGATAGTCTTTCTCTCTCTCTCTCTCTCTCTCTCTCTCTCTCTCTCTCTCTCTCTCTCTCTCTCTCTCTCTTGAAGAGAAGAGAAAACATTATATTTGGCCCGCTTACTCTACAACAGTCAATGTAAACACAATAAACAAATCACTTTGTATAGTGTGTCGTGATGCCTGTATGAAAATGAGACCCGTGTGTGTACAGAGAAGACTCGAGTGATCTTGTTCGTGAAGTCCTCGGTTTCAGGTGAGTTGTTTCTTGCCCTTCACCCTTTTGTGACCTAAATAAACAAATGCATGTACATATCTGTGCAAATGTGCCGCTTTGGCGCCAGACGGATATGTGGGCACTTGGTGTTGAACCACATAAACGTGGCGAACCTTGCATTTTCTATATATCTTAGTTATCTTAACCTGCAAAATTATTGATGATTGTTTTGTCTGATTTGTGAGGGAAATGAGAGAGACAATATGATAGTCATGATCAACAATACACTAACATACATACACATGCACAGAGACAGACAGATGCACATGCACAAACATGCACAATCATGCTATACCATGCACGCTTCAGGTTCACTACTGCGTGCCAAACACAGACCATACACGTCTGTTGCGAGTTTAAATAGCACGCAGTAACTAACTTGCCACACGGACAGACACAGACGCACACAGCCATACAAAGACACATACACGCAGACACACACAAACACACGTAGACATACAGACACACAGACACAACCGCACAACCATACACCGACACACAGCCACACCGCCACACAGCCACATACACAGCCACACAACCACATACACAGTCATACTTAAGGTTGACTGTCGCGTGCCAAACACAGACCATACAGGTCCGATGCGAGTTGAAATAGCACGCAATAGCTAACTTGCACACAGACAGACACAGACACACACAGCCATACAAAGTCACATACACGCAGACACACACAGACACACAGACACAACCACACAACCATACACAGACAGAAAGACACACCGCCACACGACCACATACACAACCACACAGCGCCACAACTACATACACAGCCACGCTTAAGGTTGACTGTCGCGTGACAAATACAGACCATACACGTCCGATGCGAGTTGAAATAGCACGCAGTAACTAACTTGCCTACAGACAGACACAGACGCATACAACCACACGAAGTTACATGCAGACACACACAGACACACAGACACAACCACACAGCCATACACAGACACAAAGACACAAAGACACACCGCCACACAACCACATACAGAGCCACGCTTAAGGTTGACTGCCTCGTGTCAAACACAGACCATACACGTCCGATGCGGGTTGAAATATCACGCAATAACTAACTTGCACACAGACACACAAACAACCACATACACAGACATACAAACAACCACATATACAGCCACACAGCCACATACATAGCCACATAGCCACATACTTGCAGAAAGCAGACACAAACACAAATAGACACACATAGACAAACATACACACACATAGACACACATACTTCCACAAAGCAGACACAAACACGCAGAGACACACATACACAACCACATACACAGACACGCTTCAGGTTGGCTACTGTGTGCCAAACACATACCATACACATGCGATGCGAGTTGAAATAGCACGCAGTAGCTCACTTGCACACAGACACACAAACAACCACACACAGATACACAAACAACCACATACACAGACACACATTCACATACACAGCTACACAAAGACAAAGACATAAAGACACACAGATACACACAGACACACGGACACACCACCACACAACCACATACACAGATACACGTAGACACGCATACACAGCCACATACATAGACACACAAACACACATAAACACACAAACACAGATAGACACACAGACACACAAACACAACGCCACACAGCCACATACACAACCACTCTTTAGGTTGATTACTGCGTGCCCAACACAAACCATACACGTCGGTTGCGAGTTTAAATAGCACGCAGTAGCTAACTTGCACACTAACACACACAGACGCACAAAGATGCACACAGACACACATAGACACACAGACACACAGACATACCTCCACATAGCCACATACACAAACACACAAACAGCTACATACAGAGACACACAACCACATTGTCACATACACAGACAAACAGCCACATACTTACAGAAAGTAGACACAAACACACAAACGGCCACATACTTACAGAAAGCAGACACTGACACACACAAACACACATAGACAAAGAGCAACACAGACACATACAAACACACATAGATACACATAGACACACATAGACACAAATAGGCACACACAGACACACATAGACACACAGCAACACAGACATACCGCCACACAGCCACATACACAGCCATACATAGACAAACATACACACAGCCACACATACACAGTCACACAGCTACACATACACAGCCGCATAGACACACATAGACACACATAGAAGACACATAGACACAACTCCACATCGACACATACACAGACACACAAACAGCCACATACACAGACACACAGCCACATACACAGCTACATAGTCACATACACAGACATACAACCACATACTTACAGAAAGCGGACACAGACAAACAAACGGCCACATACTTATAGAAAGCAGACACAGACACACACAGACATACATAGACACACAACAACACAGCCACATATAGACACACATAGACACACAGACACACATAAACACATATTGACACACAGCAACACAGACACACCGCCACACAGCCACATACACCAGATACACACCACCACACAACCACGTACACCGCCACACAGACCATATGTGTGTCTATGTGTGTCTCTGTGGCTGTGTATGTGTGGTTATGTATATGTGTGTCTATGTGTGGCTGTGTATGTGGTTGTGTGGCGTTGTTTGTGTGTCTATGTGTGTGTATGTGTGTCTGTGTATGTGGTTGTTTGTGTGCATGTGTATGTGGCTATGTGGAGGTGTGTTTGTGTGTCTATGTGTGTCTATGTGTGTTTTTGTGTCTTTGTGTGTGTTTGTGTGTGTCTATGTGCGTATGTGTTTGTTTGTGTGCAAGTTAGCTACTGCGTCCTCTGTGTGTCTGTGTTTCTATGTGTGTGTGTCAGTGTATGTGGCTGTGTATGTGTGTCTATGTGTTGCTGTGTATATGGCTGTGTATGCGTGTCTATGTTTGTCTGTGTGTCTGACTATGTCGTTGTGTGGCTGTGTATGTGGCTGTGTGGTTGTGTATGTGGTTGTGTGGCTGTGTATGTGGTTGTGTGGCTGTGTATGTGGTTGCGTGACAGTAGTCAACCTGAAGAGTGGTTGTGTATGTGGTTGTTTGGTTGTGTATGTGGTTGTGTGGCGTTGTTTGTGTGTCTATGTGTGTCTATGTGTATCTATGTGTATCTGTGTGTGTTTGTGTGTAAGTGTATCTGGTTGTGTATGTGTGTCTATGTGTGTCTGTGTATGTGGCTGTGTATGTGGCTATGTGGCGGTGTGTATGTGTGTTTGTGTCTATGTGTGTTTGTGTGTGTCTGTGTGCAAGTTAGTTACTGCGTGCTAATTCAACTCGCATCGGACGTGTATGGTCTGTGTTTGTCACGCAGTAGTCAACCTGAAGCGTGGTCGTGTATGCGGTTGTGTGGCGTTGTTTGTGTGTTTATGTGTGTCGATGTGTGGCTATGTGTGTCTGTATGTGGCTGTGTTGATGTGTGTCTATGTGTGTTTGTGTCTTCTGTAAGTATGTGGCCGTTTCACAGCCAGATACATAGCCACACAACGACATACACAATCACACTTCAGGTTGACTACTGCGTGCCAAACACAGACCATACTTGTCCGTTGCGAGTTGAAATAGCACGCAGTAGCTAACTTGCACACAAACGCACAGAGACACACACAGACACACACAGATACACAGACACACCGCCACATAGCCACATACACAGACACAGACACACAAACATCCACATACACAGACACACAGCCACATACACATCCACATAGCCACATACACAATCAGACAACCACATACTTACAGAAAAAAAGACACAGATACATTAACGACCACATACTTACAGAAAGCAGACACAGACACACATAGACACACAGCATTACAACCACATACACAGCCACATACAAACACACATAGACACACAACAACACAACCACATACACATCCACACAACCACATACACAACCACGCGTCAAGTTTACTGGTGCATGCCAAATACAGACCATGCATGCCCGTTGTGAGTTGAAATAGCATGCAGTAGCTAATTTGCACACAAACATGCTGACATACATACATAGGTACAAATACACAATCATACAAACATAGACAATTGTAGAGCCACGCAGGTAGACACAAACTCGCACGCAGACACACACAGACACACACAGATGCACACAGCCACACAAAGACATACAGACGCACACAGAAACACAGACACAACCACACAAAAACAAAGACATGCACGGACATGCACAAACGTACACAAAGACACAACTGAACACAAACAATCATGTTCGGACTTAAGTTCACTATTGTGTGACATACATAGTCCATTCACATCCGTTGGCCATGGTTATGGCACGCAGTAGCGAACTTAACTCAAACTACGGGTTTTAGCACACAGGGCAAAGAGAGAGAGAGAGGGAGAGAGAGAGAGAGAAAGAGAGAGAGAGAGAGAGAGAGAGAGAGAGAGAGAGAGAGGGAAGGGGGAAAAAAAAAAGAAAAAAAAAAAGTGCGACAAAGTCGTTGACGTCTTTGTGCGTTTTCGTTGGCAAATAGAAGAAGAGGAACCATACGCATCATGCCGATGTCAGTAGCGCAGGTGCAGGCTGCTCTCAAAGAAGTCATGAAGTATGCAGAGCAGGACATTCACTACGAGAATAACAGGGAGTTGTGTATGATTGAGGGAAGAGTGTCGAGTTACTTCATTGCCAATGTGGATATGAGATCCACGGTGATGGCAAACGGCGAGGGGTGTGTCAAAGCGCAAACACTATTGCAACACTTTCAACAGTCACCAGATTTGCGCGTGGACAATGACGTGGGAGACAATGCGTACAACCTCAAAGGAGTAGTTCAGTGGATGTGTAACGAAGAGATGTGCGAAGAAGGGTATGTGGACATGGCAATGCATCAGAAAGGGGGAAGATATACACCTGCAGATTTTAAAAAGTTGTTGGGCACTTCGGCGAAGAATTCGGGATTGGTTGTTGAAGGGTCGAAGGACGAGCTGAAGACCGGTGCAGCGGAAATTTTACTGCTCTCTGGGATGAAGGATATAACACAAACACCTCCTGAAAACTTTCAAGATGTTTCTGTCATAGTCGCAGATGGTGTGGAATATGTTTTGTTAGATCAACTTGTGGACTTCCTGAAAAAGAGTCCCGAGGACAGGAACGTCATCCATGAGGCATTGCATGAAGTCACAGAGTTGGCACTGTAGGGAGAACAGTTAATCGAATATATGCCGACAAGAAAGGAAGACAACATGATATGTGGCACGTCATTGTGGGAGGGGATATTCATAGCAGCATTGGAGCAGCTCGGCCATGTCGGTTCCGATGTTGAGGGAAAAAGAAAACGAGAAGAAGGGTGAAAGTTGATGGTCAGGAAAGCAAATCTTGCAGTTATTCTACATGACAAACAAACATCAGGCACAAGAAACAATAAACAGTATGTCTGTCGTTCTTCTTTTCGTGGAGACAATAACGACAGAGGAGCTAGAGGAAGAAGATATGTTCAATAGCTTCACAATGGCAGAAGAACAGCGTGATCGTGGTTTCAAAGAACCTGAGTTGCCAAGTTATGTTGGAGAGTACACAGGAAATGCAAAAAAAAAAGATGAAGATGAGGATGCAAGGGCATCATCTTCCGGGGTGGAAGTGCGTGACAGCGATGTCACCAGCGACGAGGAAGGAGATAAAGATGATGATGTGTACTGGGATTTAACATGGGCGGGTGGACACGTAACAAAACGGTAGGCACATGCAATTCTGAGATTGGCACGTGTTTTTTCCGATCCAGATAAACTGTTGCCTGTTGTACTAAAGAGGGCATCACCAGATGGCGCACTCCAGTATGCGGTAGTGACCAACATTATGAAATCTTGCAACAAGGAGAAAAAATGGTTACGTGTTGGCAAGGCATGGTTTGTTTTGGTGAATTGAGAGGTTGTGCTAGCGACGTCACTGACATGGGGAGTCAACCTCAGTTACCTCCTGCACGGCGCACTGGCGACTGTTTGTGGAGCGACATTG